AAGTTGGCACCATCATTGCGCTCCTCTCTGGCGAGGCAGATCAGTCGCCGGCCTCTGGACGGCCGCTCACTGCGGCTGCTGGCCGCTCACGCTGGCTGCTGGCCACACACGGCAGCCCATGGCAATCCACTGCCACAGGGACTGCAGCCCACGCCGTCGCCGGCGACTCATGGCAGCCCAGCTCCAGGTTGAGCTATTGTTCAGCATCTCAGCTGTGGAGGGCAGTGTCACTGGCCCTCACATGCGGGATCCAAACCGGGGCCCTCTGGCATCCCAAGCGAGCTCCCAACCATCGCGCCACTCGGCCGGCCCAGGAATACTTTCATATGCTTTCTATTCTGAAGGTCAGACTACCTTCTCAGACTCGGTAGTTAGAATGATTTTGTCTCATAGTCTAAACCCAGATATAGTCAAGTAGAGTACAGAATTTTAGTTCCTTGAGGGTTTATGGAGTCACAGGGAGAAGAACCAGTTTTCATCCGTTTAGACCAAATTTTCTTTTCTCTTAGCCCTTTCTCCCAGTGAGGTCAAAGGCAAATTAATCAGTGGAGCTACAGAAAACCATCAAGGTGTCGCCCTCCGCACCCTACTCCCACGTCTTCGAGAGCTGGGCAGGTAGACAGAGACACTTACACAACCCGAAAGAACGTTAACCGAAACAGGCAGAGCCAGGGTCTGGCTTGGTATTTACGTCAGGCAAGGACCTCCTGTCAGAGGGCTTCCTGCAGGCAGTGATATCAGAATAGTGTGCTCTGCTTGGGGTATCTTACTCGGTCCCTGTTTATGAAAGTCGTGCCAATCACCTGTGAGGCCTGGCTAACGGATGGTGACAATCACTTGATTGGTGTCTGTTTGGTCACCTGTTGAATTACGCTCTTCATCAGCTGTCTCGTTCAGTGCCCTTCCAGGTCAGGAATCACATAACTCCTTCCAGAGTGTTCTGTGCAGCCCGTGGTGACAGCCCTCACACGGCTAACAGTTGATAGCCAGCAGCTGCTTAGAGCCACCCAGCAGTGGCTTACGGGGTAGGAAGCGGGATGTGTGCCGTTTAATCCAGGCCATCCTTCAAAACAGTTTGCTTTACAGCCAAGCCTTTTGATTTTGTTTTTTTAAAGGAAAGTTTGTGAATGTGTGGATTCTCCATTTAACAGCAATGGATTGAGTGCCCGCTTAGATCCTATGAGTACCTATGTACTGTGGTAACTGGTACTGAGGGTGGACAGGGTTACAGAGATGAGTTAAGTTGCCTTGCGCTCAGGGACAGGACGATTCGAGAGATGCACGAAGTCCTCAGGAGTGCTTTATTTAGTGTGCTGAGGACCGAGAGGGAGTGGCCTCTGTGTGTTTGGGAAGGTCAGGGACATCTGCTTAGAGGAGGTGGCGTTGACATGGATATTAATGGCACGTAGAGTTCATTGTCAGAGATGAAGCAGAAAGAAGGGGAGGGACATTTCTACAAATAGAGCGAAGTGGAAGTAAGGAGGTGGGGTGTTTTTGGAGGGGTTGGCGGGTGGGGGGAAATCACCAGCTCATTTAGAAGCACGGGGAGCAAGTACAGCATCAGCAGAAAGCTGGATTGCTTGAGACCAGATTGTGGAAGGCCTTGGGCGAGAAGCTATGGGGCGTATACCCTATAGGTGATGGCCACTGGGGAATCTGTGGAGGATAGCAGAGCAGAAGAGTGACCTGAACAACGTGTGTGGGGGAAGTCGAATTTTTTATAATTATAGTTAATGTGAGGATTGGAGAGAAAGAAACTTGGAGATGCGAAGACTTATTTGCAAGGATCTGGTGATGGCATTCTGAGAGCTGCTAATAAAGGTGGTAGTAAGGTCCAGAAAGGAAAAGGGGAGAGAGAGATTGTGGAGGAAGTAATGATGAGACTCGGTGTCCTGTAAATGTGCACATGACAGAACAGGGTAAAGAAAAGGAGAAGGCAAGTTCTCGAGCAATGTACATGGGAAAACTGCCCAAAGCAGGCAAGTTGGGTGTAGGCACCTATGGAAGGTCAGAATCTGAGATTGAGATGCCAGGGGAGCATTGGACTGGAAATTCCTGGCCAGTGGTTAGTAATGATGGGCTGGCACTCAGGGGAGTCACTGTGTCTGGGAGGCAGAAATACGGGTGGTGGGACTCGGGGAAGAGGCGCCTGGTAGCGGGTGTCGGAATGAGGGGTGTCAGGATTTTAGAAGAGTAGTTAGGCGGTGAGAAGGAATAATGTGAATGTCACAGAGAAAATGCTACCCAACCTTGTAACACATTAGACCTGAAGGTTGAAGAAATAAAAGCAATGATGCTTCTGGGCAGCAGTGGTGTCATAATAAGACAAAGGAATCATGGCAGGGGTGGGAGAGCTTTGGGGGGCATGCTGTTGTTGGGTTAGATTGATGGGTAGGGGATGGTGACACTGATGAGTTTTGTTGTATATTTAAATAAGATGCCTGAAGGCGACTTAAAATGCTATGTTTAATAAACTGCCAAACATTTTCAAGAGAGTGTTTGATACCAGAACCGTAGACCTAGGGCAGTTGAAGTGAGTGAAGAACTGACTGATTAAAAGCCGAAGACACAAGAACAGAAATTTGGAGTCCGGAAGCTAGAGGCAGAAGAGAAACAGTGAAGGATCTCTTGGATTTTATTGAAGGATTCTTAGTTTTATAACTGTAGGAGAATGAAGGAAATATGACAGCTGTGGAAAGAGGGTTTCAAACAAAAGTAGCAGGACAGTGTTCAATGAGGCAGATGGATTAAGAGAGATGTGAAAGGTCATTAGGTCTGGGTGGCAGGGGCTAATTTCCATTGGAACAGGTAGAAGAAGGGGGACAGGTGTAAGAAGTGGGCTGTGGGACCAGCCCTGTCCTTACACGTCATTTCAGTTGGTAAGGCTACATCATGGTCGATTTTTGTCCAGCTAACTGGGATTCCTTGTCCTCTGTTGCTTGGAGTTTAATCTGTCTCTATTAAATCTCTAAGCTTTGTTCTTCCAGGGTCTTTACTCCTTTCATATATCCGGCTTCAGAGTGTTCTAGATATAATAGCGCTAGACGTTCATAGACATATCTTTTCAAATTTGATTCTGGATCTATGAATCAGGATTAAAATTCAAGAGGTCCCTCCAAGAAACCTCAACTAGGATAGTCTAATTCAGGGAGCTGTTATTTTGAATGCCTTCCCTTACCTCAATAGCAATACTTTCTTGGCCTGATCTGTTGTTTCAGTGTCATTTAGGGCTGAAAACCAGCCCTCTTATTTATGTTTCAGTTTTGAGGGTGCAAGCAGCAAGATTAGGAGGCTCGGAGACCGATAGATCTTTGTGAAATACTGATGTCTGGAGAAGTCTCTGGTATCTGGAAGTGCAAAAGCCTTGACTGATGAGGAAATTTTTGTTCCTAAAGTTCTTTTGTCATTCGGTTTGCCCCTTAAACTATAGCTAAAGCTATCAACAATGGACACGTGTTTGAAAGGCCTGGGAGTCGTGGGACGTGTAACTTCACTGTAGAACCCAATCCCCGTGTCCAATCTCATTCTAAAGGAGGGCCACTCAGGATGCCAGGAATACCCCACCATCTTTCTTCAACAGTTCCAGGTCCCTCTTCTCCCACTGTGCTCATAGTTGTTGGCAGACATTCATTTGAACACTTCGTCATAGAGGCTAGAGCTACAGTGGGAGGTGTCACTTGTCCCTCAGGATGAACACTGAGGACTGAGTTGAGTTTTTAGCAGGGCCCTGAGGTCCTTAGAAAGGGCGATGAGCAGTGTTCAGAATTCACTCAGAGGGCAGGTATGGTAACATCATGGCCAAGGGCAAAGATGCAAGAAGGATATGGAGCTCTTCTAGTGACATGAGAGGGCAAGGGAGTTAGAACATCCCCCCTCCTTTGAGTCTTTTGCCTTTTGTGTTAACTCTCATTTAACTTAATGTAATTCTTGTAACAGCTCTGAGAAGCGGGTAGGTCCTATGCCCATTTTACAGATAAACTAGTTGAGGTTCAGCAAATGAAGGAAATCATCGGTCACTCTGCAGACAAGTTGACAGAGCTAGGATTTGAACCAGTCCTTCATTCAGAAGTGCTTTCCCCATGCCACATCACCCTTGAGAGGAATAGGAGTACACCATGTTTATATGCAGACTTTTTTTTTATGCTTGTATCTGAAAATTCAGGACCATGTGTTGTATTTCTTTGGTTTCTCTTCCCCATTTGTTTCTTGTCTGTGATTTGTTCTTTCAGTTGACACACTCCTCTCCACCCCAGGAGACAGACAGGGTCTGTTTGCCTCCAAAACAGAAAGTGTTTCGACATCTCCGGGCGAGCCGTGTGTGTGTCTTCACTTGCATTCCTTCTATTTAGGGGCAGGCGGACACAGCTGTGACTGGTAGGTGGAGAACACAGCTGTAGTCAGCCGCCAGTTGACAAAGGGGTACATAGTGTCACTGCTCCATTACTCAAGTGTGCCCGGCTCAAGCTGCTGCGTGATGGGCATTTGTAGGGGCCAAAGCCGGGGGAAGAATTCTGTGCACTTGGTAGGAACAATTTTGCAATACCTCATATTTGATGTGCCACATGTTTTCATAAAAAATACCATGAATCCAAGCTTGTTTTCATAAAACCCAACTGCTGTCTGTCTGACTCGTGGCCTCCTGAGGATTCCTGGTTATCGTTTGACCCTTGCAGACTTCCATTGCCTCAGACCTTTGAGCGAAGCTGTGTCTTCATCCTGACTTTAATGTGGGAAAGTTATATACGATATACGTTTTGTTCAACTAATAATATTAAGTGTAGAAAAAAGTACCATCGGGGCCTATGGATCCTTAATATATGTGTGGTGATGGCTGGTATTTTCTTATCTTGAGAAAAAAACAGGCTTCTTGACAACAACTAAGAACAGCAAACGGACATTCTCTTTGCTTAGATATCTTTTTAATAGGCGTCTTTTTTTAAGTTGAAAATGATGAAATGAAACTAACAGAAAGTATTTCCTTTTATTTTGCTATTTTGCAGAAAAAGCCACTGTCTGCAATAATAAAGGAAGTCTGTGATGGGTAAGTGTTATTCAGGATACGCCTGAGATGCCCCATTCCACCACGTGAGAGGCAGATAAATATTCCTGTGCAACTATAAGATGTCGTTCATAAGTCTCTACTTGACCCGCCCAATGACACCAAGAATTACTCTGTGAGATGTGCGTGCCTCTCTCCACCAAAATGTTACTGTTGTTCCTCAGAGAGGAGAGAGTGTGAAAGGGCTGGTGTGTGCACGTGGGGGTGGGTTTTGTTTATTTTGAGAAGTTGTGTTCATTCACCCTTCTCAGCAGGGAGCAGTCTAAAGTTCCTGAGGTTAAACAGACACTTCAACTGCTGTAAACTGAGGGGACCACTCAGTTCCCCATAGACAGAAAGTAATTTGAAGGACAGGTCGGTGGGTAGCTGCACTGTCACGTGGAACATCACAAAGAGACAGCTTTCTGACTTCCCTTCGGCTGCTCCGACAACCTAAGGAAAACACATATGGAAGTTGCATTTTTTTTTTTCCTTTAAGCAGGACTATGACTAGAGTATTCCCTGGAATTTATTTAAGACCTGGGATACTTAGCTAGAATGTTCCAATATGCAGCAAGCATACTGACTGGGGATAGTAGAATGCAGAGACAATTGAAATGTAACAATTATCAAAAATTTAAATGGCATTCATTTCCTTTGTTTTTGCTTTTTCGCTCCACACCTTCAAAATATGGAGAAATGTAACTTTATATTGAAATACTACTCCCTCCCCAAAATCCATGCAGATGAAATGCTTAAAGGGGAGCAGTAAGTTTGGAACAAGACCTAGACAATCCACTCAGGAAAGGACGGGCCTCAGGGTCGTGAAAGGCGGGCTCGTGTCATTTTGTTTTAGAAGCTGTGTTGTCAGAGATGTTGACTGCCGGCCCAGTTCCAATCATAGTGTGTTTAATTCATCTGACTCTATCAAACTATAAAAATGAAAATGACCCTTTGTTGTTTTTTTTCTGATCAGCTCATGCTTATATTTTTAAGGTGGTCCCTTGCCAATCATGAATACTATGCATTGCAGCAAGCCGATAATTCAAACCTCTACATCACGGAAAAGGTACGTCAACCCCATTGTTGAATCTGGGACCTACCTTTAAGGAAGTTAGAACGTGACTGATGGTTCCTCTGTCCAGTGCTGGGCATGCTGCTCTCAATCTTACAGCTACCCTCCATGAAAATGGAGCCTGCAAAGCGAACTGCTACTTCGGTATTAACAAGACGGTAGTTAGCCCATTCGAGAGTGAAGCCCGAGCATGATTCTGCGTCCTGTTTTAGCAACGGCACTTGCCTTCTAATAGCAAATTTACCAAGTATCTCTCTTATTGCTTGGCTAAAGACTTTATGTGACACTGAATGTCGGTCTAGCTCTCTGTTCTCAGACTTGTGTTTTTTCCCCTTTGGAACAACGTCTCAGCCATCTTAAAGTAGTTGAAACAATGATGAGATCTTTTTGAAGTTGGCATTGTGTAGGCACTGATTGTTCTATGGCTTTTGGGAACGCTGCTTTCTTCTTGGCTGATTTTTTTATGCTTTGGGAAACTTGGAGGAGAAGGAGCGAGTTGTGACCACTACAGTAGCTTTCTGGCAGTAGGTAAAATTAATGTCTTAGAGTTCCCTGATGGGAGAAGGGAAAGCTAATATTTATTCAGCACCTACTGGAACTGGGCCAGGTACATTATTCTGTTGTTCTCTCCCTGCAGACTAACCTGGGATGGAAACAATTTTGGTTTGGTTAACAGATAAGAAATGGAATTATAAAGCTCAGATGGCTTGGTCAACATCTCAGGGGTGGTAAACGCTAGAATCCAGAAGCAAGTCCACATCCTTGTGCTTCTGTCATTTCTCCTTTGGGGGATTTCTAGAAGCGTTTAGCATTCAGCTCAGTTTTATGAAGTGTTCACTGAAATGTTAAGAAGCCGATATTGTCCTCATAGAACTTATAACCTGGTGGGGTTGGCAGGGAGTGGGGGGACCGCCCTGTGAACAGTTTGCACCACAGCAAGGTGGTTGGCGCTGGGACAGAAATAATGCAAAGTGCTCTGGAAGGAGTTTGCCCGTGAATCTAGTGGTGGTGGAAGGTGGACATGGTAACAGGGTCTGGTGCCCACTGAGACTGCCCGCTTTACCCTGAGGAGTGTGTGTGTGTGTGTGTGTGTGTGTGTGTGTGTGTGTGTGTGTGTGTGTGTNNNCGCATAGCCAGAGGCCTGGAAATGCTTTTGGAAATTGCTGTGTTGTCCCAGATGGGCACTGGATTTTTCCTAACTGATCATGTTCTCCTCTTCGCCCTGAATGCGAGAATGCTGAGAATTAACAAGCAGACTAGGTTTCCTGGCCTGTGGGGTTCATTTTATTTGTTCCTTTGATTCATTCCACAGACACTTAGTGTCCTGTCTTGCTTTTCCCCTTGCTTCATTTTCTTCATATTTTTCATTGATTTTATACTGCATTTATGACATCTGCATGCTAGTCTTTGTGAGATAAAGAGGAAGTAAATAAGTACTAGTTGAGTGTTAGCAGTTAAGTGTATTGTTGATATACTTAAGAAGACTATCTCATTTCAACTTGGCTTACCTTTTAAAGGCAACTAAAATATTGTGACTTATTGGGATATTATTGGAAAAGATTGGATGGGTTCCTACTACTTGGGGTAGAATATGAAAAGTGCAAAAATTATTGTGATAAAATTATAGGACGATAAAAGTTATAAAAGAGTTTCTTTTAATTTTTTTTTAAAGAGTTTTTCAACCATCACCAATTAGCGAATAGTGAAATCAATTTAGTTGGTTATAATAATAGTAAAATTTGGAATATAATAGATAGAATAGGTCAGAGTATGTCACCTGTTTAGTTTGTGAAATATTTGTATTATCCACACACATATATAATACATGACTACTGTGCTGGATTTTTACGTCGGGTTGTGTTCTAAAAGCCACTGTGTCACAAATAGCCCTGCCTTTGATTAATCTGTGTTGGCTTGTGTCCCCTGGTGGCTGTCCTGCCTTCTGTCACCATTGTCAGGAGACCTCAGTTTATTGGAGATTGCTAAGTGTGGGATTCTCACACTAGAGAACCTAAGCATGTAGGCCTTTTAGATCCCAAACCCCCGAGAGTCAGAGTGAGTGGGTCTTGGATGTGGCCTAGGGCTTTGCATTTTCAGAGCCCTCCATGGTTTCTGGTATGGGACACCCAGGGACCTCGCACAGGAACTGTGCTCTGGGGCTGAGACAGGATCTCTGTGTCCCGGGCACTGTGCAATGTGAACAGAACTTATGCATGAAATTTGACTTAGAAGTGTGTTTGTGGATGGCCAATTCTTGGGATAATTTAAAAATTCATTTACTATGTATGCTTTTGTTCTAATTAATATTAGTATTGACTCCAAAAATCCAAACTACTCAGAACATTGGGAAAATTATTATTTTATTGTGCATCCTAGTCATTTCTGGGGAATCCTGTTTTGCCTGAGGAAGTTCTTCATGTTGAGTTTAAAAGGGATTTTCACCTAAGTCTGTCCCTCTTCAGCAGGTATAGCAGGGGTTATTATTTTGTTAAGAGTTTAGGGAATGAGAAGACTCATCTTTCTAATTATAGCCCTTCACTTGTAAATAAAATGTTATCGCTTTTCCTCCTGCGGCTGTTAGTGGCATAGCTGCATGTGTGTGACACAGAACTCAGCACACACAGGGCAGGAGACGGACCTGAAATCCTGGGTCCCCGGGGACAAACCTGGGCTGCCTTCAGTGCACTGTTAGGTCCATCCAGTTCCTTGCAAGTATTCCTAAAATTAGAGCCCGTTTTCCATTTTTTAAAGTAACGTATTTAGCATCATCTTGGTTACTTCCAGCCCAGTAAGTTGTTAGGTAATATTTGCATTACCATGGTAACTGGTGACTAAGTTTTGAAACGTGTGCATGTTCTTAGCTACTGATTTTCCCTTGTGTACAAGGTGGTCTCCCATCCTCTGTCACAGATAAGCTAATCACCTGTAATTTTAAAGAAGAAAGGTTCCCCAAGCCAGGTCATCTAATGCATATTGTGATTGATGCAAGCATGCTTGTGAGATTCTAAGGAAGGCACCGCCCTACTTTCTTGTGCTAGTCAAGCCTATTTTCTGAAATAGTCTTCATTTGTGTATTGGGCCATTAACTTCGGTTTTTTCAGTGCAATGGGGTATGGGGGGGAAGATGGGAAAATGTTGTTCAGTACAGGGTTAAGCAGAAGTGCAGCATGCAAATAAGTGCTGTACAGAAAGACAAGGTTCAACTACTCACAAGTTCAGATTCTGCCCCAGACATGTTTATATCTCAGGGTGTTGTCAGAGAGAGAGCAAGAAAGAGAATAAAAATTGAAAAGTGAATCATGTATTTTTTTTAGCGTTATTGAGGTATAATTGACAAAATTGTAAGATATTTTTATGTACGTTATGGTAATTTGATACATGTATATTTCTAGTTCATTAACACACCCATCACCTCACTCTATCTATCATCTATCTATCTATCTATCATCTATCTAGTGAGAACATATAAGTTTGACTTTCTCAGCAAATTTCAGTTATATAATACAGTGCAATCAACTATAATTACCATATTGTACGTTAGACATTAGATCCTCGGGCCTCACTCATCCTGTACCGGGAAGCTTGTACCCTTTTACCGACATCTCTATTTCTTCCAGCCCCTCAGCCCTTGGCAATCTCTTCCACTCTCTGTTTCTATGTTTGACTTTTTTTAATTTTTTTTTATGGTTTCACACATAAGTGACACCATGCAGTATGTGTCTTTCTGTGTCTGATTTATCTCATTTAGCACAATACTCTCAAGGTCCACCTATGTTGCTGCAAATGGCAGGATTACCTTCTTTCTCATGGCTGAATAATACTCCGTTGTATTTATGCACCACGTCTTCTTTACCCATTTATCTGTTGACAGACACTTAGGTTGTTTCCATATCTTGGCAATTATAAATGCTGCAGTGAATATGGGAGAGCATACATCTCTTCAATATCCTGTTTTTATTTCTTTAGGATATATACCCAGAAGTGGGACTGCTTGAGCATTACGGTAGCACTATTTTTTCACAGTGACAGCACTGATTTACATTCATGTCAACAGTGGATGAGGGTTCTCTTTTCTCTACATCCTCCCAACACTTTCTCTCTCTCTCTCTCTCTCTCTCTCTCTCTCTCTCTCTCTCTCTCTCTCTGTCTCTCTCTCTCTCTCTCTCTCTCTCTGTCTCTCTCTGTCTCTCTCTGTCTCTCTGTCTCTCTCTGTCTCTCTCTGTCTCTCTCTTGCTCTCCATATAATGGTAACCATTCTGACAGGTATGAGGTGAATTCTATTGTGGTTTTAAACTGCATGTCCCTAATAATTAGGGATGTTGAGCATCTTTTCATGTGTCTGCTGGCCATGTGTATGTCTTCTTTGGAAAATTGTCTATTCAGCTCCTCTGCCCATTTTTTAATTGGATTGTCTGTTTTTCTGATATTGAATTGTGTGAGTTCTTTATATATTTTGCTTATTAACCCCTTCTCAGATATATGATTTGCAAATCTTTTCTCCCATTCTGGAGGTTGCCTTTTCATTCTGTTGATAATTTGTTTTGTTCTGCAGAAGCTTTTTGGTTTGATGTAGTCCCACTTGTTTATTTTTTGTGAATTGTGTTAACTTTATTCCAGTGGAATTTGTCTTCTGAAAAAGAGTGATAGATGAAAAAGACTGATAGAGAGTGATGCGCATTTTGGTTCCTTATCCTCATTCCAGTCTGAAGATGACGGTATTATTATCTCCATTTTACAGTGAGGAACTTGAGACAGGGAGAGGTTATGTAACAACTTGTTTAGGTCGTACTGATAAGGAGAGGTCAAGCTGAGGCTTGCACCCAGGTGGGTTTGCCTCCAGAGCTGTCTATGCTGCCTCCTAGAAACTCGCCTTCCCCACCACCTGGGCCCCAATTTATTTATGACGCCCTTTCTTTGCTGACACCAGGCCAGTGATCCTGATGGTAATTGCCTCACGAAAATAAATGCGGGAAGTTACAGCCTGTGAACCCTGG